CTCACCCGGATAAAGTCGTGCAGATACCCAACTGGGGATATTTCCAACACCCATACAGATCATAAGTCCTGGCCAGGGACTTCTGGTCCTGACTTGAAGGGGCCGCCCAGATCCCAACCTGATGGAAGCGAGGTAGCTTCAGGCAAGCTTCAGAACCACCGCACAGCTGAAAGGCAGCGCAGAGTACTTTTACCATTTAGATGCTGTATTGCAACATTTCGGGGTTTTTGTATTTTGTTTTTAGACAGAGTCTCACTATGTCTCCCTTGGTAGAGTGCGTGGCATCACAGCTCACAGCAACCTCAAACTCTTGGGCTCAAAAGATTCTCTTGCCTCAGTCTCCCAAGTAGCTGGGACTACAGGTACCAAGCAAAACATCTGGCTATTTTTTTTTTCTTTTTTGTCGCAGTTCTCATTGTTGTTTAGCTGGCCCAGGCTGGGTTCAAACCTGTCAGCCTTGGTGCATGTAGCCAGCACTGTAACCACTGTGCTACGGGCGCTAAGCCTCCGTATTCCAACATTTCAACAGAAATAAAGTAAGGCACGAGGGGAAATCAAAGTGTAACAGTAATCAGAATGAAAAACAAATAAAAAAGGGACCATAAATTCTGTAATATGAATCTTCAGGCAAAGACTGCTGAACCTATTATGTGAGGAGGGAAGGGGAAAGGGAAGGGGAAGGGATTAACCGAGTGTGGTGGTGAATATTTATAGTCCCAGAAACACAAAAAGCTGAGCCAGGATTAACACCTAAGCCCAGGAGTTTGAGGTTGCAATGAGCTTTAATGATACCACTGCACTCCAGCCCAGGTGACAGTTTAAGACCCTTTCTCAAAAAGTAATAAGACCAGGCAAGGTAGCTCACGCCTGTCATGCCAGCACTTGGCAGGCTGAGGCGGGTGGATTGCCTGAGCTCATGAGTTCTAGACCACCCTGAACAAGAGTGAGACACAAGCTCTAAAAAAAAAATAGCCAGGCTTTGTGGTGGGCACCTGTAGTCCCAGCTACTACACAAGAGGCTGAGATAAGAGAATCACTGAAGCCCAAGAGTTTGAGGTTGCTGTGAGCTATGATACCACAGCCCTCTAGCAAGTGCAACAAAGTGAGACTCCATCTCAAAAAAAAGAAATGGGGCACCCAGAGCTCAGTGGTTAGGGTGCCGGCCACATGTACCAGGGCTGGTGGGTTCAAACCCAGCCCGGGCCTGCTACACAAACCAACAACAACAACAAAAATAGCCAGGCATTGTGGTGGTCACCTATAGTCCCAGCTACTTGAGAGGCCAAGACAAAAGAATAGCTTGAGCCCAAGAGTTTGAGGTTGCTGTGAGCTATCATGTTGCAGCACTCTATAGAGGGGGACAAAGTGAGACTCTGTCTCAATAAAAAAAAAAAATAACAAAAATAAAATAAAATATATATTATAATATAAAAATGTAACAAAAATAATATAAAAAAGTAACATAAATAGTTACTATAGTTAGTATAATATAAAAAAAGTATAATATTTAAAAAGTAACAAAAATCAAATCAAATCAAATATATATTATAATATGAAATAAAATTTCAACACATTCAGAACACACAGCCCCTGGCTGACTCTAATGAAATTGAGAAAAGGTCCTATTCACAGAAGAAATCTCAACATGTTTATTTTTCAACATCCTCTTGGAAAAACGACTTACAATAACTATTAAGAACACAGCTACTTCATAATATATAATGCATCTCTAATCAAGCCAAGCCATAAAAATTAAATTTCCTCATAATTGTACTGCCCATAGTTCTTCAAAGCTCTTCAAGTACAATTTAATGGTTGACTCAAAACATGGCGACTGATTGGAGGAGAACTACTACTGCAGCTGTTTGTTTGAGCTCTGAGCTTACTAGCTGCTGTGTCCATGCAGCATTATTTTTACATGTTAAGAATGATTGACAAACCTGGGCTATTGAAGCATAGGTTATTTTGGAGATACTTTCTCGAATATGAATGAAAAACCTGTTACTTCAAGGAAAGTACTTGATAGTACTTTTTTCTAACAATAAAATTCAAACTTTCAAGCAAACCTTTGGATCGTGAAAAATGTGTATTTGTCACTGTGAGTTTGAGAGCTTCCCAGTGTTTAAGGACTTCTGATGAAATCAGTGGTAATATTAGTGAATAGAATTGTTGATATTGTATTAGGAAATGTGTCAACATTTGAAAAATCTATAAAACCCAAGGAACCTATATCTATATTTTCCAATTACTGATGTATGATGTTACAAAATCATGCATATGGAAATGATGCATTTGAACTATTTAGGCCAATGTATTTTTTTTTTTTTTTTTT